TCTAGTTTTTGATCGAAGAAAAGATTTTTTTGGCTATAGAAGCAATTTGGTATACACACGAGTTGCTGCAGGAGGGGGATGCAAACTGGTGAAAACTTTGTTCTGCTAAGGGGAATATTCGTAATATGTAGCAATATTCGTAATATGTAGCAGGCAATACCTGATGTCTGACCAGTGAGCGCTGCCGAGCGGGTAATTGATTTACTAAAAATAGAACGGGCGTAACCATAGAACATTCAAGACACTAAAAATAGTTATTTCACCGCTGAAATAATATTTGATTTGATTGTCTTATCATTGAACAACATTGTGAGGATGTTTTATCAGGTATGAGCTGTTTCCTTTCAAATGATTGCAAACAAAATGGCGCCCATTACCCGAAAGTGCACCATTTTCAAACTTCTAGGGTATATAGACAATCTGATTAAAATCTGATGTAGTGTACAGGCTTTAATTATTTTGGCTATAAACTTATTTTAATTCTATTTTTTATTACTTTTGTTATTAATGCCCTTTTATTTTATTTTATTATTTTACTTTGATTTTGATTTTGTGATTTTTTTAATTCCGCCCTACCTACATCTGAGCCGATGCCTATGTAACGAGATTTCAACGAGACCCACTATCGACGATTTTAGTCAACGAATCACATACCTCCTTCTATAGCGCACATGATGACGTCACATGTATTCGTTGACTGTGGTTGTAACAGTAACAGTTGACTTTCTTGCAGTCTGTTGTGATGCTTATAAACATTCTTTAAAATTAATTGTTAATTGCGTAAAACAAGGGATGAACGCAAAATACTGTAAAGTGGTTAATTATTCACTGGGTTTTAATTTTACTTATTTCGCTGACTGGAAAAAGCGCTAAATTAAAACCCAGTGAATATGTAAAATTTAGCATAGAACACATTATCTAAATGATCAAACCGTGAATTTAAAACCCACTGAATATCCCTGAAATGGTAAATCAGCGAAATTTAAACCCAGTGAAAATTAGTCATTTTACAGTAGGTAATTTCGCTTTCTGCCTTCAGTGCAGCACGTTCACCGCTGATTTACATTTATTTTTCAAGATTTTTTTCAGAATCATAACAGTCAGCAAGTCTATCAAAATGAATATTAAAGCAGAAACAGTAGTTCTCTTTTGGAAATATGTCGTGGTTTGTGCTTCCTTAGAAACGATTCAAGCACCTCGTATAAGGAGAGCCGCAAAGCAAGTGTCGCACTTGGTCGGCCGTAGTGTCATCAACAATTAAACCAATGTTGCAATATTGTAGCAGCCCATACTGAGAGAGTGGTTGAAATCACGTTATTTTGGCTTTATAAAATATTTGGTAGCAGCTTGCGAATCCATAACTGGGGCCAGCAATTTTATAAAGTCACGCCGAAGACTGACAACTTTTTTACCATCTTTCATCACCGCTATTGCATTTCTGTCATGAAAACTATTCTTCTGTCGTTGGATACAAAAAAACTTCCTATTTCAAGCCCACTGCGATATCCATATAGTGAGACATTCCAACCATTGGAACTTGCTGAGATGATAACTTTCACCGTGATTGATAAGTGTCGAGTCTGATAAGAAAGCAATGTCACAATTTGACCTTTATGATGAAACACTAGTAGTGATGTCATTCCTAGCCAATCAGTAAAGCAGATGCATAAAGGTCAAAGATGATTGCCAGACTGTAAACAAAAGCATCATGTGCCATCCCAGCAGAGCGACTCCATTTTTCTTGTCTCTTTATTGTGATTAGACATGAATGAAAAGTGCCAAGCTGACAGAGTGCTAAGTCCAAAGCTGTAGGGACTTTGTTCAACGGCTACAGTGACGCCGACTTGGACTTTGAGAGTTTTGAATTTGACGAAGATGGCAATGAACGTACAAATACAGATCTGAGAAGTTTTTTCAAACAGCTATGAATTTTTATAATTTTTACTGTGTAAATTATTATTGATCTTGTATGACAGTTGATCAGTAATTTGTCCAGACCGGAAATAATTTTACGCAGTTTAACCTCTGGCATTTTAGTTCATTTTGAGTTCACGCGTATTGGGCGTGTTTGTCGTAATTCAAATGATTTCTCACTGTCGATTTTTATCATTTCTGTTTTATTTGTCACATTATAAGCAATAAATTATTTTTGTTTTACTTCTAATGTTGCATATTGTTCTTTTATTTCCGTTGCATGTTTTCATTTGCCGTTCCATTCCCTGCCGCAGTTCGATCTGCCTGTTGTCAATTTTCGCGAATTTTCGTGTGTTTTTTGCAGGGGATATCCGAGCTTCACGAGTGACCATCAGCCGCTATAATTACTAAGTATTTATGTTGGCGAAGAGGACAATCATCTTTGGGTTCAAATGCCCTAGACAAAAGAACGACCACGGAGTCCTCACACATGGCTAAATACTTTTCTTTTAATCCACATCCTGCTCTGAAAATATAGAATGGGGAAATACTACAGTCACAAACAACATATCTGCATCACTTCGGCCCTCGCAGTAGATTGTAAACCGGGTTGTAAACTTACTTGGACCGTGACCGTTGCTCCCCTTGCCGCTGAAAAATGAACGAACCAAGCAATTTTTGCAAGCCCTTGTGCTGGCCTCACCCAGATCTCAGTAGTTACTAAAGTTATTTTCTGTGGAGTGACCTTACTAGTTTTATTCAAACTTGCCCGTTGAACGTTACCCAAAGCATGGTAATACAACAGGGTACCACAACATTAACACATCATAAACCATACTTACCACAGAGCACACCAAAAGAAGCAGTGAGCAAGCGGTACAGGTTTTGTACCTTGTAAAAGTGACCGTTCGGCTGCGAAACTTGCTGATGACGTAGCAGAGACGGTGAGCTGAATTTGTAAATAGCGCCACCAACCCAATCTGATTAAAATAAGATCCTGGTTGGCTTAATTTTTTTTTTAATTTTTTTTTTTATATAATTATTATTTATTTTAATTATTTACTATAATTATTATTTATTTTAATTATTTTTTGACGTTACAATTATTTTGCTGCAAGAATGGTTTTGTTCGTGAAAGCCACCGGGTAAATAATTGTAATGTTAAAAAATAATTAAAATAAATAATAATAATTATAGTAAATATTTAAAATAAATAATAATTGTAGTAATTATATGAAAAAAAAATTAAAAAAAATTAAGCCAACCAGGATCTTATTTTAATTAGATTGCCACCAACCTGAAATATATTTACATTCGAAGGATTGTGTTTTCTTCAAAATAAGAGATTTGTACAAATTATACTATAATGTCGTAGGTAAATTGGAACTTGAAGGTAGCTTACCGTTTTACAGGTGACATAGAAGTTCAAAAACTGTCCTTTACGGAAGTTTTAATTCAGTATCAGAATAAGGTAATACTAGGGAAGGGTGTCAGCGTATAAATTAAGATGGAACATGTGATAAGTGGGTGACCGTTGGAAAATCAAGATGAGGGGCGGCAAATCTAGGGGGAATTTTACTGAGAACATTTTGTAGAAAACAAATGTACACGAGGACATTACCAAAATAGAACTGTATTTACGAAAATAAAATAAATAAATAAAAAGAAAATAGTTCACACACATTCGATTGAGGAAGGAAAAATGTTTACTACGACACCATAAAGAGAAAGTGATTAGTTGCACATTTTTATAGCATCTCTCCCGCGGTAGTAATTAATAATGTTAGCGTTAATTAAGTAGTACTCAGCACATTGATCCAAATTGTCTTCACCCTCCTACTTCAGCTTCTAGTAAGTTAGCATTATTAATACTATTATTACATCATTTGTTCGTATCATTATCATAATCATATTCACAGTCGAGATATGAAGGGAAAACTATTATACTAAATTTAAGCAAAATAACAGCAGAAAGCTACGTATTGATTTTGTTCTTAAGGCCATGATGGATCAGGATTTGGGGCTTCAGTTAGGGTGCTATACGCGAGTTGTATTAACATGTGCGCATATTTTAGCGCATACAGCAGTAGCAATAATTTGTGTCAAAATCTGTCTACACAATTATTATTCGTTTTAGTATTAGTCAACCATGTGTGAACTTTTTCTGTTTAATGTCATTCTGATTTTTGAGAAAAAACGGTAAAATAATACGAATACAATTTTATCAGCGGTTTCCTTAGACCCCAATGCCAACACATTTTCTTGATAAAAACTCAATAAATATATTGTCTATTTAGTAATACTGCTATACATTAAAAAATACCTTGTAAGACACTATATATCCTGTTTTCACTCGTATGTCACCGAGCAGAAACAATGGTAAAATGCTGACAAAATATTCTATTTTCACTATTGGTAAATTTTCTCTGAACTGAGTAAGGTGACCCCATATTTTTATTTTATGCTTTAATCCTTGTAACATGATATATCAAACAATATGACAATATTTTTACTTTGTGTAGCATTCTACCCCAAAGAATGAGCCTTTACAATGACGTCATTGTCGCATTGCATTATGCACGTAAATGTACGAGTTAGTGGGGCGCCCTTACAAATTGGGTCTTCTCAAAAAGAAAAAAGTTTTGTCGATTTTCACGTCAGATTTAAAAAATAATCAAAGACAATCAAAAATATTCTACCAGTCACATGATATGTAAATTATCACTCCAGACCGTCTTGGAATGTTATGTACGAGAAAATAGTTTTACCGTGGGAACCAATGTTCACAAGGTTCCAAAACTGCCAGAATAATCGCAATTACTGTATTGTTAACTGAAAAAATATAATCCTAGAGGTTCCGACTGCGTGTTTTATTATTTACTCCCAGTCGATTTAACATAATCGGATGTGTTTACGTGTATCGTACGTGCTGGTCAGTGTGGGTGATAAGGAGTTGGGGCTCGATATGTGCGACCCCGTGTGTGCGACTCGCATGGTTTAGCTGTCTAAATATGAAACATGGCACTTGCATCTAGGGCGCTTGATTTGACAAAAGAATGAGCCTTTCGTAGCAACAACTACAAAAAATATCATAAAAATGCTTTTCTTTTATTATTTGTTTATTTCATGAATTCTGCCTCGTGACCCTTTCCTTCTATTTTTCTCACAGGATTTCTAACAAACTTAAGGGCAGAAAATCCGTTTCTTTCGGTGTATGAAAATAATCCTCATTCTCTTGCCGGTCGCTTTCGGCGACGTTGGGGTCGCTGCAGTCCTTGTCCATGAAAAAGGTTGGCTTCTCCATGTAAGTTTCCTTTTTGGTGTCACATTTCATAAGTTTGGATACCCTGGAAACAGAACAACATGTATATGATTAGTATTTGACTG